AAATAGAAGTAGAACGACTGTGGCAAAAGAAAGCAAAGATAGTACCAATAGTTATAGGCACCTTGGGTGCAATTCCAAAACGTCTGGAGCACCACTTGAAGACCATCGACATTGGCAAAATCACCATCAGTCAATTGCAAAAGGCAGCTTTACTTGGGACAGCTTCCATCCTGCGACGATACCTTCAACACCATCAAACAACACCATCTGCCTATCCCGGGTCCCTGGGAAGGACTTGATAGATGGACAAAAATGCCAAATCCAGTCTAAACATCTGGCTGACTGTGTGACCAACCATGCTAATAATACAGCTCCAAATATTAAAGACAAATGCCAGCCCCCAATTCCATCCCATAGGCATTCTTAGAAAATAAAAATGGCCCATAGCTCAACTGGAAGGCCCCCTACTTTCTCAGGGAAAAAAAGACAAATGGAAGATGGGAGGGCAGAAATGTCCTGAGGGAGGAGGGATGGCAGAGCAGAACATCGTCAAGTTTTGTAGAGGGATTGCTCATGGTCAGCCATACCCACCATGGCATCCATTCTGAAAAAAGGTAAGTCTCCCCCTCAATCTTCTGTGAAACGCTCCACAATATGCCCACCTGCCCAGCCAGATGGTGGACCTCCGACCTCGACAACAGACTGAGCAGTCACGCAGCTCACTTAGTCACAGTCTTTCCCCCCTTGTTGTGAGATAAAATGTATTTTTACTTTAAACACATTCATTATGTTTACATGAACATCTCTCTCTATAAATTAGCACATGCAAATGTTATGCAAACCTGTTGGCGTCCTTTTTGGTATGTGTGCATAATATGTTTCCTTTTGGGGAGGGTATGAAAATTTGGGGAGTATGAAGGTATGAAGGTATATAGACCTCCTGGAGATCAAGGCTGTTTTTTTATTCCAGCATTTCCCGAAATGGCAGTGTTGAGATCAGGAGGGAGTACAGCTCCAAGACTTTTCAGCTTGCCTCTAGCTGGACATTTGGGGAGTTAAAATCCCAAGACAAGATCAGCCCTTGATATCTTCGTGTCTCATTACTGTACTCTTAATGAGGGCAAGCTGTAAGTGAGCTCTGGAGTTCAGCTGGTGCACAGCCTTGCTTTGAAGACTGGAAACATTATTCCCACAGGTGTCCAGGCAGGGGAGTGACAAAATGCATCTTGCAATGCACACTTACGTGCAAGTGTGCAACATCAGAAGGCATATTTTGCTTTTTAACATCACTGTAGTTCTGAACCAACACCTAGGATCATTTCTATGCTTTCCCTGCAGTAATTTGTGAATTGGAAAGAAGACTGGCTTTAAAATGGAGTTGCAAATCTCTCTCTTTTTTCTTTTCCCCAGTCAGGGCTGAAAATATAAACCAAGATCTGGATCCGGAAAGTCCCACCTGTGCGGCTGGGGAGGTACAATTCCAAAGAGGAAGGTAAGAAGAATGCCTGCAAACTGATTAACCTGAGTATGTTAAGGCTCACCAATATTTTAAAGCAGTGTTCCTCAACCTTGGCCGCTTTAAGCTGTGTAGACTTCAGCTCCCAGAATTCCCCAGCCAGCATGTTGAAGTCCACACAGCTTAAAGCGGCCAAGGTTGAGGAACACTGCTTTAAAGCTATGCATTTGGTAAGGACCTCATGTAGCTGTTGCAAAACCACCCCTTTCCCTGGCTTCAGACCAAACAGTGAGGCTCTACTTGAGCTTCACATACCGTGAAAGCCTGTGTTTACCAGGAGCCGTGTCTCTTCTGCAGGGGTCTGGCACCATGACCTGTTTTTCCTGTGGAAATGGTATTCATGAGTCTAAGAGCACTGTTCCCTAACTTCGCTGTGTCTGCAAGTCAAAGAGAAATGCTTGTATTTCATCAGGCATTTAGGGATTTGGGGAAACAAATTGGGCGTGCAATGAAGTATTGTTTTAGGGAAAGTTCCCATTCAGGTTGCCAATCCGCATGAGCAGATCTTTGGGAAGAGGCTCCATTTGTTGGTTGTCCTACTCAAAATTTCAAAGTGTTCTGTGGCCACAGGGTAGGCTCAATCTTCATTTGGGGGAACGACTGTGGATGACAGGGGGCCGGTGCATGGAGGACCTTTGTATTTAGGCATATGTGATCCTTCTTTACTTTACAAGAATGGAAGTGCATAAGGAGGAGATGGATTTCTTACTCATTACACAACTGTTTGGGAGACCTGCTGTGTCTGAAATTCTGATCCTGAGTGGGAGAAATTCCAAGCACGAGAAAGTAACAGATAAGCACTAAAAATAGACTATTTTTGATAGCCAGGTCAATTGGTTTTGTACTTAAAAACTTTCTGGAATCCAAATGGCAAAGGGCTGCAATTTGCAAACATAACTTTACACTTGGGACGATGGACACCTAATCACAGGACAGTGAAATTTGTTGCCCTGCTTCCTTTCCATCCCATATTTTAATAACATTTTTTGCTGCTGAAGTTCTGCAGAACTGAAAAGCTTACACAGTCTTTGGTCCTGATAAAATTATGACCACACTATAGATGTTGGGTATTTTATGGCCTATCAGTGTTTAATATTTGTTAATGTAAATGTGCTATCAATCTACAGGTGTGTGTGTGTGTGTGTGAGAGAGAGAGAGAGAGACAGAAAGACAGAGAGTAGTACAGCTCAGTATAAAAATATGTATATCTAGCTGTATCTATGTATATCCAACACTTGAAGATGTAATCCTTGTTTCTCCTACTTAATATGTACGGCATAATATACCATCTGGACATTTATCTTTGAAGTTTTTTTTCCTCCATAAATAAGGTAGATCCATTGAGATGAGTAAGACTTAACGTTTTCAGCCATAATTAACTCTGGCTCTGTCCTATCCATTTGAGTCCATTTTTTATTTGCTCAAGACCATTATTCTTATTCTTCTTATTCTAAAAGAAGGTGAGGTGGAAATCTGCATACGAGAACCAAGAAGACCACTGAAAGACGCTTCTGTACATCTTTCCTTCCAACATCATGCATATTTCTTTTGCCTGGGAAACCATACTTCTCTTCCATGTGAGAACTTTAGAAAGCCTGGTTAAAATCTGAACTCTACAGAAGCTGGACTTTCTTGTTATCTTGTCTTTTTTTCTTTTTTCCGGCAAAGGTCTGCTTCTGAAAAATAAGGAAACCAACTTTCCTGAAATTTCACTTTGTAAATTACGGAGGTGACACACAAGTCATAGTAAGACGGAAAAAATACAGGAACCTAGCATCTGTGTGGACACAGAGTCTAGGTAGCCAGCTACAATTTTTGCTATAGCATTTTAAGAAAATGCTTTAAACTTGACTGTACACCTTTAAGAAATATTAAATCTCCATGTCTGCTCCTCTTTCATTTTAACTAATGGAAGCCTAAGTTCTTCCCATCAAGGTATTTGAAGCTTTTAAAAGACTGCAGATTGTACTTTCTGCTGTGTTCTTCACTTTGCTGATGGTATCTTTTGGGAGGATTAATTGATAAAAACACCAGTCTTTTGAAAATCCGGGTCCTTCTGGATTTTTGTTTTAAAAAGTTATCTCATTCGTCCTTTTTTAGCAATGATGGGGAACAGGGGCATCCACAGAGTGGTTGAAAAGGTCAGGATGGTGTCTATGACTGCACAATAGACAACCCTGCACCTTTTTAATCATGTGGTTGTGGTTGCCATCTTGACCCCCCTTCAGACGCCTCTCTTGGGGATCCTTGTTTCACCCAGCATTGCATTCTAACTTGGGAAAAGTCCATTGGCAGGTGGGCAAAAGGGGATTCTTTTTCAGAATGAAACATTTCAGACCCCATTTCAAGGTGCACCATTTCAAGTTGCATCTCACTGTCTATTAGTCCTACTCATGCTTACACAGAATGAAGCAGGACTATTCGAAAGATGAGGTACGGAGGTAGAAAGGAGCAGGCTTCAATCACATGGTTGTGGCCACCATCTTTTCTGAGCCCTGCTGGTGGACATCCCCGAAGCTTTCCAGAGCTTCTCAAAAGGCTCTAATTCTCTAAACAGATCTTCTTTTGAGTCATGAACTCTGCTCCTGAAAAGTTAGAATTGTGCAGTTAGGATTCGGGGGTCTCTGCTTGTAGAGCACCAGGCTTTAGTGAAGCCTCAGTGACCACACTCTGGCCAAAGAGCTGAAATTGGACCCCAAGGGCCCACAATGTCGATGAGGGGGAAACTATTTGCTTCAGTTACACACACTGATGCTTCCTTACAGAACGTTCCTGCAGGCTTCAAAGAAGCATTTATACAATCTTAATAAATGAAATCTTCCCCTGTTCTGTGGGTCATTCTAGGGCCATCTCAAAGATGACCTTTTTGGCCAAGGTAGTTGAGAAGGTAATGATATTTTATAACTCCAAGGGAATTTGTGAAATACTATTGGACCATTACAGTTCAAGTCTGGTGCTGGAAGAGGGACCGGAATTGCTTTGGTGGCCCTGATGAATGACTTACGCCAGGAAGAGGATGGGTGCAGCCCTGCTTGTTCTCCTGGACCTCTCAGTGGTTTTTGATATCATCAACCATGGTCTCCTCCTGACTCTGCTCAGCAGTGGTTTTAATATATCCTTTGGGACTTATTCAGGCATGGACTTTGGAACTATTATTAGACCAGTGAAATGTGCACCACACCCACACCCACCACACCACAAAGGTGTAGATGTGTTTGTGTGCCCAGGATTTCACAGGATTCCATCATGCCTGTTTCTCCCCTCCCCTCCCCTCCCCTCCCCTTGCTACTAAACATTGACAAAAGCTGCTTGGTGCAATCATCTGGAGCTTTAGAGCCAGGTGCTATCAGTTTGCTGATGACAGCTAGCTCTATTGCTTCTTGTTATTAACTCCAGTCAAGCAGCTGAACATTTAGGGGGTGAACAAGCTCCAGTTAAATCCAAGCAGGACAAAGAGGCTATGATGAGGCCAAAATGAGGCTCAGAACTGGGGGTTGGCTTGTCCTACATATGAACATGGTCCTGTTAAAAGAGCTAGTCTGCAGTTGGGGAGAGTTCCTACATTCTCTGAACAGTAGCAAAATCACATCTAGCATGAGCATTTTAGGCCAAATTTGGCAGTAATCCTTAATTATGCCATGCTTCAACTATCGTAATTTCCTCCACATGGAACAGCTCTTGTTCCTGTTTTGCCTGCCAAAAGGTTTTTGCCCACAACTGAATTTTGTGCACCAATCGATCGATTGATCGATTATGTGCTGTCAAGTCATTTTCGACTCCTAGCAACCACATAGATATTCTTCATGATGATCTGTCCCTAACCCAATCTTTTGGGACTGCCAATGGTGCAGTCATCCCTCACTGTAACTGAGTCCATCCACCTGGCTGCTGGTCATCCTCTTCTTCTCTTTCCTCCCACCTTTCCCAGCATTAGAGCCTTTTCCAGAGAGCTAAGTCTTTGCATCTGAGAGATTGCCTCTTCTCTTATGAACCTGTAAGACTCTCTTAAAGATGCTGCTGCTGCTGCTTTCAGAGGCCTAGTTGTCAAATATCTTGTTGTGTATCGCTCCCAACTAGGAAAGCTTTCCCTAGGGAATTTTATTTGGCGGCCACCCCATCCACCCTTAGAAAAAGAATTAAGGCGCATATTTTTAATCTGGCCTTTTGAGCGGTAAGTTTAGTACTTATGCATTATTTTAACTAAATTTTAATTGCATTTGTAGTTTTACTGTGCTGTTTGCTGCATTGATTGTCCAGCTAGGGCAGAATGGTGAGGTTTAAAGGAAATCAAGTGCAAATAAATAAATAAGTAGAGCCTATTTTCCTGTGTCAATTATACTGCTCCAGAATTTAAATCTGTCTCAGAGCCAATTAAAAAGAAAGAGCAAATTAGGCCAGGAGTAAGAAACTGTTGTGACAATTCCCATCTTCATTATTGTTGATCAGGCTAGGCGGAACTGGATCTGGAGAGGGCCACCATTTCCGTATTTCTTCCCTACAAAGAAGTAATGGGTTTCTAGACAGAGAGGACTTCCTTTTACCAGTACAGAAAGGTTAGTTATTTCCAGTTCCATTTCAATATTCCTTCCCTAAACAACTATAAAGAAGAAATGGGTTCTAGACCAGTATTTCTCAACCTCAGCAACTTTAAGATGCGTGGACTTCAACTCCCAGAATTCCCCAGCCAGCAAGGGAGTTGAAGTCCATGCATCTTAAAGTTGCTGAGGTTGAGAAATACTGTACTAGACAAACAGGACTTCATTTTACCATTACAGAAAGGTTACTTTGGATGCTGACTTCTAAATAAATGGAGGACACCTGGACGAAGAAAGGGAAGAAGGAAAAGGAAGTCAGAATGAAACACTTACCCACTTCCTTGTCTCTGGGATATGATGCAATACTGTATTCAGGACCTGCAAGACTTGGACCGTCTTAGAAACAGTTCTTGTGCTATAGCTGTGAATATGCATGGTGTC